ACCTCGTAGACTGGGGCCCTGGCTGTTCTTGAGCCTTCTCTTTTCTGGCATGAGTGGACGCTTGCCCGAGGCCGCCGAGTTTTTCACAAGTGGGTTCAATTACTTCTAACGTACCATAAGAATACACGGTACATATAAATTAGAAATGATTTTCTTGAACCTAACATGTGAGCACCTTCCGAAAAAGCTTCGGCATATTTTACCTACATCACCCAATCAGTAGCTCTTCCAATGTCTTATCTTTTGTTATTTATTTTTGAAGCATTTCTTGTATCTGTGACAATAAAACAACAAAGAGAAAATGCCATTTAAATGAAACTGTTTTACTTTCAAAGATTATACAAATTATATTTTATGGGCAACCTTTTTTATCTAGGTTAATTTAACTTTATTTAAAACTATCAAAAACCTAATATTCTTGCTTTCAGCACTGTAAAACAATGACAAGCAAAACTTTTGTTGAACTTCGTTTTTTTATCTGTAACCCAACTCTTAAGTAAAGTGATCAGGACATAAACCTTGTCGAGACTAAAGTAAGCAGAGTATTGCTCTGGATGCTGTCGAAATACAGGCAAATTTACTTCAAGAAAAATGACATTTTTATTGACATCTGTACAGTATTGGCAAGATCAGAACTCGACTATGCTTCACCTTCTGTGCGAATTCCAAGGAAAATTAAAAGCCCAGGCGCAACCACACTTATATTTGATAATATTTGTTCACATTTTCCCAAGATGTCCGACTACATTTGTCAGCAAAGGATTTTGTCAATATGCATTTCTAATGAAACGTCAAATGGAATCCTGCAAGATGACCTCCGCTAGGAAGGAATGTTTGGGCGCGGTTGTGGTATTGGATATTGTTCTATGTAATCCGAAGCTATTTTTAGTCGACTCAGGATGCTTGCATTTAAATGCGCCTTCCCATAGCTGGCAAAAATTGCACTCGCGAGAGAGCGCCTGCTCGGGTAGGATAATTTTCCGGATTTATTTTTGATATCCCTGTCTATTTAGCTATATTAAATACAAAACCTAGACAAAAATATCCCATTTCATACGTACTTCGTGGCAAATTACGTCTACAAATGTTCTTTCCGAAAAAAGGTCAGCTTTTAACTTTTAAAAGA